AGTAATGTAAAAGTAGACTTTATTTTTTTTTAAAGATTTATTTTATTGGAAAGCCAGATGTACAGAGAGGAGGAGAGACAGAGAGGAAGATCTCTCCATTACACTATCGCGTCGGGCCCAAAAGTAGACTTTAATAGTAACAGTGACAATAAGTAATTAAAAATGGCTCACTCATCCAACTTTTCATAGGATTTTAAATTCACTTTAAACTCTTCAGCCTGGACCCAGCACAATGATTCAACTGGCTGACCTTCCCCCTGCAAGTGTTAAGATTCCCATGTCCTGGCTGCTCCAGCCATCCAGCCATCCAACTCGCTGTTTGTGGCCTGGAAAAGCAGTGCAGGATGGCCCATACCTTGGAACCCTGGATCCATGTGGGAGACTCGGAGGAAACTTCTGGTTCCTGGTTTTGGATTAGCTTGGCTCTGGCCACTGTGGCCATGTGGGAGTGAACCAGTGGATGGAAGATCTTTCTGTCTCTCTTCTCTTTGTAAATATACTTTTCCAATAAAAATAAAATCTTTTTAAAAAGTCTCCATGCTGTAAAAGATAGTCGACAAAACATTTCAGTGGTACTCCATGTGTGGGACACAGATCCTCCTGTCAGGGAATATTAAACTAAGGATACAGTCATACCCAAGGGTGCCAAGCATACTGCAAGGATACTGTTGCCCCCTGCTGGTATAAAAAAATGTAGCAGGCAAAGCAAATTTTTGTTGTTAAGACTTCTTTATTTGAAAGAGAGGAAGATAGAAATAGAAAGTGAGAAATCTTCCATCTGCTGGTTCACTCCCTAAAGGCCCACAGCATCCAAGAACGTGGCCAGGGCAAAGCCAGGAACTACCAAAACCATCTAAGTCTCTCAGGTGGTGGTGAGGGTTCAAGCCCTTGGGCCATCTTCCACTGCCCTCCCAGGCTCATTAGCAGAGAACTGGATTGGAAGTGAGGGAAGTCATTGCCCATATGGGAAGCAGGCGTCCCAGGCAGTGGCTTAACCTGCCTTTTTTGTTTATCTGCTGCATTCAGGTCTGAGTTGCTTAAGTGCTTGTTAGTGATAAGGTTATTAGTCCTGATGAAGCAATAGTAAGAACAAAAATGTAATCATTAGGAATTGAAACATACTGCAGGGCCAAACATGGTAGCCTAGCGTCTAAAGTCCTTGCCTTGAACACAACAGGATCCTATATGAGTGCTGGTTCTAATCCTGGTGGCCTCACTTCCCATCCAGCTCCCTGCTTGTGGTCTGGGAAAGCAGTCAAGGATGGCCCAAAGACATAGGACCCTGCACATGTGAGGGAGATCTGGAAGAGGCTCCTGGCTTTGGATTGGTTTAGCTCTGGCCGTTGTGGTCATTTGGGGAGTGCATCATCAGACAGAAGATTTTCCTCTCTGTCTCTCCTCCTCTCTGTATATTTGACTTTGTAATAAAAATAAATAAATCTTTTTAAAAGAAGAAACTATACTGCAGACTTCAGGTAAAATGTATTAGTGATGACTTACGCAGACTGAATCTATTTAAGTAATTTTTCTTTTTTTTTAAGATTTATTTTATTTTCATTACAAAGTCAGATATACAGAGAGGAGAAACAGAGAGGAAGATCTTCCGTCTGATGATTCACTCCCCAAGTGAGCGCAACGGCCGATACTATGCCAATCCGAAGCCAGGAGCCTCTTCCAGGTATCCCACGCGGGTGCAGGGTCCCAAAGCTTTGGGCCGTCCTCAACTGCTTTCCCGGGCCACAAGCAGGGAGCTGGAAGGGAAGCGGGGCTGCCGGGATAGAACCGGCACCCATATGGGATCCCGGGCGTGCAAGGCGAGGACTTTAACCACTTGCGCCACCGCGCCGGACCCTTAAGTAATTTTTCAACAAGCTTTATTTATTTATGGAAACAGTGACAGAATGAGACAGAGTTGTCATCACAGGATCACTCCCCAAATAAACACCATAGCCAGATCTGCGATGTCAGGAGCCCAAGAACTTCATCCATGTTTCCTGTGTGGCAGAAATGGAGATTCCATTGCTGTGAAAATGAAAAGATGTGCCACCAATTGGGAGAAAATGTTTACAAAGCACATATCCAGGGGCCTGCACGGTAGCTCAATTGGTGAATTCTCCCATCTGCAGCCCCAGCATTCCATAGGAGAGGTGTGTGTTCTGGCGGCTGCACTCTCTAGCTCCCTGCTTGTGGGTTGGGAGGGCAGGGGAGGATGACTCAAACATGTGGGTCCCTGCACCCATGCAGGAAACCCCTGAGGAGTCTCCTGGATCCTGGATTTGGATGGGTGCATCTCTGGCTGTTGTGACCATTTGGGGAGTTAACTAGAGGGTGGGCGCTCTTCCTCTCTTTCTGTCTGACTCTCCTTCTCTCTCTGTAAATCTGCCTTTCAAATCAACAAATCTTTTTACTTAAAAAAAAAAACAGACATATCCAATACAGAGCTTATATTCAAAGTATGTATATGCCTGTGCATATGTAGACCCTAAAAATTGGGCAAACATTTGACTCATTTACCAAAGAAACACAGGGCAAAAAAACTCATGAAAAATGGATAGCATTAGGGAAATACAAATGAGACATTACACAGCTCTTAGAATATTCAAGTAAGAATAAAAAGGACAGCAAATACATACTGAGGATGAAAATCAAGGGTAGGTTTCAGAGATTGCTGGTGGAAGTGAAAAATTAAATAATCTCTTTAGAAAACTATGATATGATCAATACAATGAAAGGTTGTGGGATTCTATTGCTATGTAATGACTCAAAGGAAATGAAACTGTGATTCTATACAACGATTGGTATGTAAATATTTATAGCAAGCTATTTCCTAATCACCCCAAAGTGAAATAACCTAAACGTCTAACAGCTGATGACTAGATCATGGCACATCCATTCCCTGGGATATGTGTATGGTCTTAAAGCAGACCATACACTGACACATAAATAGCACTGATGGACCTCGTCATTGTGACATGAAGTGAAAGAAGCCAGATACAGAAATCTATAAATCGACTCCATTTGTATAACATTCTGGAAAAAGCAACACTACAATGATTACTGGGGATTGTGGCCATCACGCAATGACTTGTCAATTAATCAATAGTGATCAACCAATGAATACGCAAAATTGGATATTAAGGGAAACAATATGAAATAGTACAAAAGGGATTATTTAAGATGATGAAAATATTCTATATCTTAAATCTGAATCAATGTGCATTTATTCCAGATTGTAGTCATTGACATGTATATAGTTGGGCACCTAAAGACATTTTACCATGTGTAAATTATTCTCTAGTGAACCTAAACTTAAAAAAAATTAACAGGATAGAAGAAAATTATGGATATTTCTGCTTGGTACTTAAGTTCAAATGATATTCACTACAATTTGCCAAGGTCCACAGAAACATAAGCTATCTGTTGACAAGTGAATCCCTTTTCTGGCCACTGATGTTTCCCTGCTCATTCACTGTTAACCCTTTGCTCAGTACTTACAAAGCGCACGGATCCCTTTCCTGTGCCTGACTCAGAAAGACTGTGACGACCTCAGACTCTGCGCCAATGACTCCCAGATTTCTCCCCAAAAGACCCTTCATTGTTCATGTCAGTTTTTCCAAAACCACCATTCGTAACAGGCTACCCTGTCCACTCCATGAAGTAGCTTGCTCCAACCCACACTACCATCCCCTTACTCTGTATTTTCTTTTTTTCTGTAGAGCCTTTACTTATCTGTTGCCTCTCCACTAGAAGGGAGAAATGTCATCCTTTCGCCCTTCCACAAAAGTGCCTGGTACAGTAGATATGATACAGAAATGTATTAGACTCTAGTAGGCATTTAAAAGAAATTTTTCATTTAGCTTTTATAAGTTTCGCCGCAAAAATCAATGCAGACTTTGCAACACACTTTTTTTTAGCCCTTCTCAGGATACGGATTCCACAGCCATTATTCCTCTGCAGTTTATTGGAAAGAACAAGACTGAGAATCAAGAGTCCCAGATTCTAGATCCAACTTATCAGTAACTCCTAAGACACCGAACTTTGGGGGTCAATAGTTTCAGTTCTAGAAAATGCCTGGAGGGGAAAGTTGGGCTCATTTACAACTATGTGCACGTAGATACTCATTATCTAGCAGACTTGCAACAACAAAGCAAAAATAGGGAGGAAAATCAGTTAAAACAGAGGAATTTGGCTGAATGGACTGTGGTATAATCATCAGTCATACTGAATTCTTTTGAAAACGAGGACTAAAGGGTGATTAGTAAAGTGCTCTCTGCAATTTTGTATATGATTGGAATTTGGCATAGTAAGTTTTTTGAAAGTCAAACGGTTTAAAAAAAATGTTTTAGGGTTTTATTTTTAAAGGCCATAAGTTTATATTAGAAAAACAATATTTTCCTGTCACGCGTGCTTTTATAAAACTGTAAGAAATTTAGAAATAAGTTGACACCTCTTGTGAAAACGGCCTACCAAAGAAACCTTTTTTAAAAACTTGGTAATTTGTTGTGTAATCTATGGTAGACACAACTGTTGTATAACAGATAATAGATATCCCTGAATTCCCAAACAAGAATAAAAGTAAACAGATGGTGAAGAACTGGAGATTCAGAATATATTACTGATCCCCATGGTCACAAGGCATGCAGTTTTAACAAATACATAAATAGCAGATAGCGTCCTATCTCATTTTTAAAACCTTATTTTTGACAGGTGGTGCTGCAGTTGGAATGTTTAAAAATACCTGCTTACCTGTACTGTTTTTACTCAAGGCATATAAATACCCTCTTTCATTTCAAGCACTACTCTTAAAAAATAAAAACCGATTAACAAAGCTACCAGCTGCTACTTTATTGATAATAAGTACTTAGAGATCTAACCCAATTCACAGACGACACGGTGGGAGGGGCGGAGGTGAGATATGCGCAAGCGCAGAGCAAGCCAGAACTCTGAGGCGGGACTAGAGCCCGGGTGCAGCCAATCAGAGGACAGCGTCGGTGGCTGCTTCCTGGGGAAGGCGAACGGAAGTCAGAGGTCGCCTGCGGTGGGGAAGGCTCGGTGCTGGTTTTGCGAAGTGCTGAGGTGAGTGGGCGGCGTCGGCTTGGAGCCCTGTCTACTTGGGTTTCTCTTTCCGGGCGCCACTGTTTCCTCCCTGCTGGACTGGGAGTTTGGGAGTCCTCGGAGGGAGCTGGCTGGTCTTCCCTCCCGCGCTTCCCTTCCCTCAGGGCGCCGGGCTCCGGGCCGCCGCAGGGTGCGGGCCGAGGGTCCCTGGCTGTCTCAGGGTTGGGGCGGCCGGCACGCCGGCTACCTCAGGTTGGGGGACCCTGGGCTGCCTCATGTTGGGGGGCTCAGGCTGCGGGCCCCGCGCTGCCTCAGGGTGGCAGGGTGCGAGACACCTCAGAGTGGCAGGGGCTTCGGACTGCCTCAGGGTGACGGGGGTCCGGACTGCCTCAGGGTGACGGGGGTCCGGACTGCCTCAGGGTGGGGGCCTCAGGCGGCCTCATGGTGTGGACCATGGGGGGGCTCTGGGCTGCCTCAGGATGGAGGACCGGGCGGCGCAGGTGAGCGTTGGCCGGCTCCGGCAACTTCCCCGGCTGTCCACTTCTGTGAAGTTGGTTGTGTGAAAATGAACGGGGGCAGCGGGTCTCGAACCTAATAATCGTCCCACCTCCCTGGGAGAGGTTGTTAAAAGCTGACAGGTCTCTGATCACAGTAAAGGAATTGGATCAGATCTCCAAAGATGGGCGCCTGGAGTGCCTTCCTTGGTCTCCTTCTCCCGCCCCTTCTTCTCCCACCCTCAGCTTGTAAGGAAAATACTAGCAAGGCAGTGAATTTTCATGCTTGGTGCCGATCTTACTGGAAATAAAAACAAACCTCCATCCCCTTTGAAGATTTCTGCCTAGAGAGGTGATACTGAGTAAATTTGCTTGTGTTATACATCGCACTGTTGGTGACTTAGGGATTAGTGACTTAAGTGATCCCGAGTGGACTTGGGATAGGAATTGCTGTTGTACCATGTACTGGCAGTATCATGTTCTGCAAACACTTCCGTTTGGGACTAAGTGTCCTCATCCCTAAAATGAAGTTGATAATGTACTGGTAGCTTTGTCAGGAAGGTGATGGGGAGAGGGTGTGAGACAGTGGCATCTGTTGGGGGGTTGATCCTTAGAAGACACCTTACATAGAGGAGGGAACGTCAACAGAGGCACCAGCACCTCTAAAAAGGGTAGAATGGAATGAAGAGGTGAAGTATCAGATCAGTGTTTATGCCTCATATTTTGGTAATTTTGTTGTTGGTCTAAGAAAACATTTTTGTTTTGGAGACTGCATATTGAAATATATAGGGGTAAAAGGACAAAACAGTAAAGCAGATGAGAGGAAATGGTGACATTAGGAGCATCAGTGGAGAAATTGAAGTGTTGTTTCTATATACATACAGGTTTTCTGTATATCTGAATTTATGTGGAAAAATTTTAAAAATTGGCTGTAAGTCTACAACAAAGTAATCACGTTATAAATAATCAATGTATTATAATTATAAACATCTGTGCCTTCTTTTTCTTTCAAGATTGTTTACTCTCATATTCATTTTGTTCTCATATCAGTGATTGCACTATTTCCAGCTTTTTTTTCTCCAAGCCGTGGTGCTTAAACATCTTCATAAACTTCTCTATGTTCTTGTACCTGTGTTTTTAAAAAAGATGTGCTTGTTTTATGATTGATTTGTTTTTATTGGAAAGTCAGAGGTACAGAGAAAAGGACAGAAAGATCTTCCGTCCGTTGATTCACTCCCCAAGTGGCAATAATGGCCAGAGCTGAGCCATTCAGGAGCAAGGAGCTTCCTCCGGGTTTCCCACTCAGGAGCAGGGTCCCAAGGCTTTGGGCCATCCTGGACTGCTTTCCCAGGCCACAGGCAGGGAGCTGGATGAGAAGTGGAGCAGCTGGGATATGAATTGGCATCCCTATGGGATCCTGGTGCTGCAAGGCGAGGATTTAATCACTGATCCATCACACTGGTCCTTAAGATGTATTATTATTTTTTTTAATGAAAGGCAGATTTACAATCAAGAGAGGAAAGATGGAGATTGTACATCTGTTGATTCACTCTCCACATGGCCTCATTGGCTAGAGCTGGGCCAGTCCGTAGCAAGGAGCTTCTTCCAGATCTCCCACATTGGTAAAGTTGCTCAAGCACTTGGGCCATCCCAGGCTGTTAGGAGCTTGATTAGAAACAGAACAGCCAGAATTTGAAGTGTCTCCATATGTGATGCTGACTGCACAGCACCAGCTGGATGCTTATGTAGCATAAATTTCTAAAGTTGGAATTATTTGTTTGGAGAACTTAGAATTTGGAATAATGCCAAATTAAATTCCTATATGTATCTATGACTTGTGTGTAAGAATTTCTCCCACATTCGCTTGGGTTTTACTGATGTAGCACTGGGGAATTATACAGTGTATCCATTATGAATGCATGGTGGCACTTCTCTACTTGGAAGGTTTGTCTTCCATGTTAGGACGGGTATTGAAATTTGATAACCACTCTGAAGAAAGAAGGATGTTGACCTTTTTTTTGCATGTAGAACTTGCCACATTGGAGGGCTCTAAAATTTGATGAGTACTAGAATATTTGAAATTTTTATAGATTGTTAGATTTAAAAAAAAAAAAAAAGCTTAGATAGAAAAGAAGAGGCAGTAACTGAACGTGGCCAATGTTGAAGGGAAATGTGAATGTCCAGTCACAGAAGCTGAGGGAGGAAAGGCATGTCTTGAGAAGAAAGAATCTGCTGAGATGATGAAACTGAATTATTTTTTTTTTTTATTAAAGATTTATTTTTATTATTTTTTTATTGGAAAGGCGGATATGCAGAGAGGAGAGACAGAGACGAAGATCTTCCGTCCGATGATTCACTCCCCAAGTGAGCGCAACGGCCGATACTATGCGGATCTGAAGCCAGGAGCCTCTTCCTGGTCTCCCATGCGGGTGCAGGTTCCCAAAGCTTTGGGCCGTCCTCGACTGCTTTCCCAGGCCACAGGCAGGGAGCTGGAAGGGAATTGGGGCTGCCGGGATAGAACCAGCGCCCATATGGGATCCCGGGGTGCAAGGGGAGGACCTTAACCACTGTGCCACCGCGCCGGGCCCGAAACTGAATTATTTAAAAAAAAACAATTCCTTTAAATTTGATCATGTAGTGATTGTTGATGATTTCAATAAGCAGTTTTACTGGAGTATTAGTTAAAGCCAAATTTGAGAGTGACAAACAACTGAATATACACAAGGCTAGTAAAGTAGTGAATTGTGGATGTAGGTAGTTACGGTAACTGTGACTATTGCCTTGATTTTCAGTACCATCCTGTGTACCACTGTGGTTTTTTGTTTTGTGCGTGTGTGTGTGTGTTTTCCAGAAACTCAGGGCTATTCACAAATTCCTAGTTCTGCTGCTGGTGTCTTACTTGTCCCTCCTGATGTTGAAGAACTGTATCTTAAAACTTTGTTACAATCAGTTTAAAAGAGCACATGAGAATCTTGTGGAATGATAACCTATACTTAAACAGGAATAGGTAGACGTGATTGTGGCAAGTCAAGTTTTGGGTTTCAGATTTCTGTAGCAGATATAGGAAAGTGAGTTTACCCATTTAAATTGTAATGTGCACTGTGGGAAAAGGAAACAGACTTAGATAATTTCATCTAGAACCTTGGATGATACTGGATGTGTGGATTTTAGTAATGTTAGTGTTGTCAAAATGCTTGAGTTTTTAGTGTTTACTTTTAGAAATCAGTTTGTAAAAGTAAGCGATTGTAGGGGCTGATGCTTCTGCCCAGCAACATAAGCTGCCCCTTGCAACACTGGCATTTAATACAGGTGCTGGTTCAAGTGCTGAATGTTTCATTTCCAATCTAGCGCCTGCTAAATGTGCCTGGGAAAGCAGTGGAAATGGTGCAGGTTTTTGGACACTTGTCACCCACAGGAGAGACCTGGATGAAGCTCCTGGATCCTGGCTTTGACTCAGCTCAGCCTCAGCCACTGGTAACCATTTTGGGAAGTGAACCAGAAAATGGAAGATTCCTACCGTTCCTGTCTCTCCTTCTTTCTCTGTAACTCTACCTTACAAATAAATAAATGTTAAGATCATTTACTTAAAAATTGTACCCTCTGATTGGAAGACAGCATGTGTAGTTTGGTTATGAGGAGATGAAGAAATGGGGCATTAAAAGGCGAGGGGTATAGAGTCCATATTATCTTGATAAGTCAAAGGGTACTACGGTGTATTGAGAGAAATGTTAGGAGAGAAGGAAAAATACACTGGTTGTTGAGAATATAATGGTTGATTAGAAAAGAATGGCAGCCATTCTGGGTTGTCACTGTTAGTTTTGAAACTAAGATCATCTTCTCTATCCCCAGACCACCAGAAGAAAAGAAAAGAAATCTGTTTGTGGTCACTAAAAATGACAGATTTGTAGTTCTACTCTGAATCTGGTTTGTTTTTGTAGGTGTTTGATCTTCCACAATGGGTGAACCACAACAAGTGAGTGCACTTCCTCCACCTCCTATGCAGTACATCAAGGAATATACTGATGAAAATATTCAGGAAGGCCTGGCACCCAAGCCTCCGCCTCCAATAAAAGACAGTTACATGATGTTTGGCAACCAGTTCCAGTGTGATGATCTCATCATCCGCCCTTTGGAAAGTCAGGGCATTGAGCGACTTCATCCTATGCAGTTTGATCACAAGAAGGAACTGAGAAAACTCAATATGTCTATCCTTATTAATTTCTTGGACCTCTTAGATATCTTGATCAGGAGCCCTGGAAGTATAAAACGAGAAGAGAAGCTAGAAGACCTGAAGCTGCTTTTTGTGCATGTGCATCATCTCATAAATGAATACAGACCCCACCAAGCAAGAGAGACTTTGAGAGTCATGATGGAGGTCCAGAAACGACAACGGCTGGAAACAGCCGAGAGGTTTCAAAAGCATCTGGAGCGAGTGATCGAGATGATTCAGAATTGCCTGGCTTCTTTGCCCGATGATCTGCCACGTTCAGAAGCAGGAATAAAAGTGAAAGCTGAGCCCATGGATGCTGAGGATAGCAACAATTGTACTGGACAGAGTGAGCAACAAAGAGAGAATTCAGGTCTTCGAAGGGACCAAATTATAGAAAAGGATGCTGCCTTGTGTGTCCTGATTGATGAAATGAATGAAAGACCATGACTGATACTTGTTTTCTGTTTTCCCCTTTTGGTAAATAGTGTTACACTATTGGTTTATTTTCTTTTGAACAGTCTTAAAAAGGAGTAACTGAAAGTGTAAATGACTTTCTGACTCTCCAGTTTTTTCAATTTTGAAATGTCGTAGGCAGCAATTTCAGTGTATAACAAGTATCCCTAAATTAAGAATAATTACCTGAAAAAGAAAATATTTTCTACTGATGGTTTGTTGGGCATTCCCTGTTTTTGAAGTTAGAGTTTGGCGGTGTCCTCAGTTAATAGCAAAGTTTCCATCCTTGGAAAGTAGATTTACTGATTTGCTTCAAGAATGATAAATAAAAACTCTGAAGCTATACAAATGTGAACAAATTTCTAAAAAGTTTACTTAATCTGCAAAAAGTAGAATAGCATATTGAAAGAGAGAAACTGTAGTTTTAAAGCAGAAGCTTTATTTTTTGTTATGATTCTTGTAAAGTCACTACCTCAGCAAACTCTTTTCCTTAGCTTGAATGGAACCTTAGTGAGTTCCATAAATTATCTTCACTACTCACTTGGGTAAATGTGTCTGGCCAACTTAAGATAACAGAATGTGGTAATTAAGATGACTGAATTACACATTTGCTGTAAAGCAAATACATGTTTTAAGGCTGGAATACTGTAGTGGAAGAAGGGTTTGGTGGCAAAGACTGCCAGATATCTACCAAAGATTCTGAGTTAGGTTGTTGAGGTGTTCTGTCTAGCCAGCAGCCTCATTTTCCTTCTGCTCTGCAGCTGTGTGAGGCCATGTGACTTTTAAGTTCTGGGCAAGGCAGTTTTTGTCACATAACAATTTCTTGGGTGATTTTCTGTTTTCTTGTCTACTAGTTGGGTGCCTACACCTACCTACCCATGCGAGACTTGATAACAGATTGTAAGATTAGGTCCTCCTTCATTAATTCTGTTCTTGCTTCCACGGGTAATTTGACTTAAGGTGAAAAGAAAATAAACATGTTTTGAGTAGTGAGATTTTATATCTGTACTTTCTCCCGCCAGCCCACACTCAGCATCTGCTCTTGGGAGAGTTGCTTTGAATGAGTGTCAGCCTGCTTGGCTGTAAGCTAGAGTCCATATGAAATGACAGCATTAGAGAGAGGCAGCATTGGAATCACTTTGCAGTTTGTTAGAAATGTAACTTCTCCGACCCTACCTTCAACTTTCTGAACCAGAAACTTGCTGTGGCACCAGGCCCGGCAAGCTGTACCTTAAACCCCGGTCCAGTTCTCCGCGCTCAAGATGTTCTTCTGTAGAGGCAGAGAGAATGCCTTTTCCTGGATGGTGTGCTTTTCATTTCTCTCTCTCTTCCTGGTTTCTAGTAGAGGGATTGCCCCATTAAGGATTCATTAACTCTGGATCTGGCAAAGTTCACTTTAAAACGACTGACAGCTTCGCTCTGTGAAATATGCACCTTTTGCTACACTTGTTGGGAGTTAAGTTTGTTTCCAAGTAACACGTCTGCTAGACAAGCTAATTAGCCAGTCTCAACCTTAGCCTGTTTATCACTGAAATATGGAGTAGAACTTGACTCCAGGGACTCCAAAGGGTGTGCTCCTATGGCTTTCTATTCCCTAGTTGGAAAGCAAGATGGAAATTGTCCTTGAACCAAAATGCCTATGGACTTTTTGTTTTTTTAACTACAGCCTTGAGGTTGTTAGGCAAAGATACACAACCACTTTGGGGCTAGTTTAAAAATCGTAGCATGGGTGAAATGGAATCATGCAACATTGTTGAGTCACAACAGTTGCTTATAGGTGACTACCTGTGTATCTTGAGGGGAGAGGTGTTGGGATTGAGATGACCTAGACCAGGACTCATCTAGAAGTTCTATGTAGCCAGACCTGACAACCTAATTCTTGCTGTTATAGTGAAATGAAGCACTAGTGATTTGTTCTCGGAATTTAAAAAAAGTATTATACATGGACTTTGAATCTTCTAAAATTAAAATACTTCTATGCATACCTGTTTATGAATGCTTCTGAAAGATTGGTTCACCAGGGCTAACATTGTACAGTGGGTTAAGCTGCAGCATTAGCATCCCATATGAACAGGGGTTCAAACGTCTGCTGCTAATGTGTCTGGGAAAGCAGTGGAAGATGCCGCAAGTGCTTGGGCCTCTGCCACCCATGTGGGAGACCCAGAAATTTCCAGATTCTGACTTTGGGCTAGTCCAGCCCTGGCTGTTGAGGCCATTGGGGTATAAGCCAATGGGTAGAAGTGTATGTGCTTGTTCTTTGTAACAGCCTTTCAAGTAAAAAATATATGTATATATTTTTTCTTTTTTAAAGATGTGTTTATCTTTCTTGGAAAGTCAGATTTACAGAGAGAAGGAGAAACAGGGAAGATCTTCCATCCACTGATTAATTCTCCAAGTGGCTGCAACAACTGGAACTGAGTCAATCCGAAGCCAGGAGCCTCTTCGGGTCTCCCACATGGGTGCAGGGTCCCAAGGCTTTTGGGCCGTCCACGACTGCTTTCCCAGGCCACAAGCAGGGAGCTGGATGGGAAGCGGAGCCGCAGTTATTAGAACCAATGCCCATATGGGATCTCAGTGCATGCAAAGCGAGGATTTAGCTAATTAGGCTACCGCACTTGGCCCTGTATATATATATTTTTAAAAATGTTGTGGGACCAACACAGGGGCCTAGCAGATTAATCTGCATATGGCACTAGTATCCCATCTGGGTACACACTGATCCAGTTCACTTCTGATGGCCTGGGCAGGCCGTAGAGGATGGCCCCTTCATCCACATGGGAAATCCAGAAGCTCCCGGCTCCAGGCTTCAGACCAGGACAGCCATGGCTGTTGAGGCCATTTGAGGAAAGAAGTAGTAGGCGGAGTATCCTTTTCTGTCCTGTTCTCTCTGTAACTGTTCAATTAAAGAAATTTTTGTTAAAAAGAATGATTCACCAAAGTAAGATGTCTATAAGAATCATCTGAATAGTTTTTTTTGTTTGTTTGTTTCTCTTTGTTTTTTGAAAGATTTACTATTTTTAGTTGAAAGATCCATAGAGAACAGGGGTGGTCTTCAATCTGTGGTCCATGCCGTAAATGACTACAGTGGTCTGAGGTGAGCCGATCTGAAGCCAGGAGCTTCTGCGTCCCTGAAATACTCTGTTGCTCTCCCAGGCTACATGTAGGGAGCTGCATCAGAAGTGGAGCAGCCAAGATACCTACAAACCTGTTTCCATATGGGATGCTGGCCCTGGCAGGTAGAGGATTAGCCCATTGGACTGCTGCATGGCCCCATTTTTGAAGTGACTCATGCTTAGTCCTCAAATACTTTTTTTTTGCTTTGTTTTGTGATTTTTGTGTTTTGTATTTTGGTTTTAAATGCTCTTTTTGTTTTCCCATTTGAAAAGGTGACGTGAGGGCCTGGTGCAGTAGCCTAGCAGCTAAAGTCCTAGCCTTGAATGCGCTGGGATCCCATTTAGGCGCTGGTTCTAAACCTGGCTGCTTCACTACTTGTGGCCTAGCAAAGCAGTCAAGGATGGCCCAAAGCCTTGGGACCCTGCACCTACGTGAGAGACCCAGAGGAGGCGCCTAAAATCAGATCGGCTCAGTTCTGGCCATTGTGACCACTTGGGGATTGAATCAGCCGATAGAAAATCTTGTTCTCTGTCTCTCCTCCTTTCTGTATATTTGCCTTTCCAATATAAATAAATAAATCTTTTAAAAAATGACGTGAGGCAAATTGGGTAGAGATGTTAATTAAATCTGCAGGTTTCTCCCAAGTGTCTGCGACAGCTGGGCTGGGCCAGGCTAAAGCCAAGAGGCAGGAACTCCATTTGGACTTGGCTTGTGTTTGGCAGGGAGTTACTTCAGCTATCAGCTGCTGATTGCCAGGCGTATTAACAAGAAGCTGATTGGATGTGGAGTAGCCACTGCAGGAACCAGCAGTATGAGCTGGCAGCATCCCAAGTGGTAGCTTAGCCCTGTGTGCCACTGAATCTATTGTCTGCCATTGATTTAAAGTGAATCTGTAGATGATTGTGTTGCATAGCAATTGAAGAGTATTTTATTATCAGGGGTCTACTATTAGTGAAAAAAAGCTCTGCTTGAATTAGTTTAGGCAAAAAGATGCATTTATTAGAAGGATGATGGGATATGTGATATGGCTGAACAAATGGAAGATGATAGGAAGCACCCGAAAGGCAATGAGTAGCTGCCTTGGGAACCCTGTAGCTCCATTTTGCACAAACCACCTTCTTCAATCAAGTAGGGGGAGAACATGCTGCTAACAGTTCCCAAGTGTAAAGTCTTTTTTCTCTCTTACTCACTAAATTGGAGGAATTGGGGTTTGCATCCTTGATTCAACCAGGGCCTGGACCATGTAAGAATTTGCCTCTCTCCACTATGTCAGTGAATGGAAGAAGCTCTTTATCTCGGGAAGGGGTGCTGAACTGACAAAGCTAGCTGTCCATGAAAATTAAGTACATGCTAATTTTGATATGAGTAGTAAAATTAAATAGATTGTCACTTTGACGTACTTGCAGAGCAGTTCCCTCTGTTTATTCACTGTATTTAATAGATACTGTGGTTTTCTACCTAACACTGATTTAGGTTTTGAATGCGTGAGAGGGAAGATGTAAGACAATAAGTTAAAAATTTGAAAATGATTAAGTTTGTGTCTTAAGCATCCCACCATTAAAACACCCTTAAGAGGAATCTTCCTTTCCCTTATGTTGCTATGACCTTGAACACATTATCTTCCAGTTACGTTTTAAGGATTTTAAAAGACAACTTCAACACTTGTGCTATATTTTAGAGAAGCAACACATGAAAGCACCTTTTGAGAAAGACCAAAAGTTAGTGTAAATTGAGTGTGAAAGGTCGTCGTGGCTGCAGTATAGTGCAGGAGAGGTCGGAGCCCAAGAAGCAGCTGGGGAGGGTGAATTTAGGCAGCCAAAGGAAGGAGTTTGGTTTTTGTGCTAAGTCTGATGGGAAGTCATAAATAATATCATGCACTGCTTCATTGCTTGCATTATTCTTGTCACGTTACCACTTAGTCATTTTATCCTCACAACATCCCAAGGAAGTCGTTTTTCTTTTTGTAGTCAGAATATGGATGAGGAAGTGAAGTACAGACAAGTTAAACTTCCTGAGGTCACTCAGTTGGTGAGTGACAGTCAGTTTTATTTTCAAAGCCAAGTACTCAGTCTCCATACTTCATCACTCCCGTATTCTATTGTGTATAGTCAAAGCGAACAGCGGGATCCGGCCTTCTGCCCCTGAGAGCCTGCATCGTAGACACTACGTGTTACTGGATTGAAGGAGGCACAGACTGAAGGGTGGAAATCGAGTCTCCTCTGAACATGTTAAGGCACATCTTAGACTTATGTGAGGCCCATGAGGAACTGGTGTGTGTGAATATAGCTCTAATCTTAAAAACTTATAGCATTGGGCCCGGCAGCGTGGCCTAGTGGCGAAAGTCCTCTCCTTGAATGCGCCGGGATCCCATTTGGGTGCTGGTTCTAATCCCAGCAGCTCCACTTTCCATCCAGCTCCCTGCTTATGGCCTGGGAAAGCAGTTGAGGATGGCGCAAAGCCTTGGGACCCTGCACCTGTGTGGGATACCCGGAAGAAGTTTCTGGATCCTGGCTTCGGATGGGCATAGCATCGGCCATTGCGCTCACTTGGGGAGTGAATCATCGGACGGAAGATCTTCCTCTCTGTCTCTCCTCCTCTCTGTATATCTGACTTTCCAATAAATAAATAAATAAATCTTAAAAAAAAAAAAAAAAACTCTTGTACAATTGATGGTGTGACACAATGTGCTGAGCTGCTGTTTGTGATGCAAGTATGCCATATAGGTAACCATCCAAGTCGGGCTGCTCTACCATGGAAGGCAGAGGAAGATGGAACAAAAAGTTGGGCTCCTGCCACGTGCATGGGAAACCTGGCTGGTTTCTGGCTGCTGGCTTTCGCTTAGCCAAGACTCAGGCATTGTGGCTATTGGGGGGATGAGCCATTAGATCCATATTCATTCTCTTTCTGTCTTTTAAATAGATGAGTAAATCTTAAAAAGGATTCTTACATGTTATTCCCATTTTATGAGTAATGAAAACTGGGATATAGGGCTTGTGGTTTGTTCAGGTTTAAATTTAGTTCAAGAGGGCCTGGTGTGATAGCGTAGAGGTTAAAGTCCTCGCCCTGAACATGCCGGGATCCCATATGGGCTCCAGTTCTAATCCTGGCAGCCCCACTTCCCATCCAGCTCCCTGCTTGTGGCCTGGGAAAGCAGCCAAGGACGGCCCAAAGCCTTGAGACTCTGCACCCATGTGGGAGACTTGGAGGAAGTTCCTGGCTCCTGGCTTCGGATTGACGCAGTACTGGAGTGAATCATCAGTCAGAAAATCTTCCTTTCTGTCTCTCCTCTGTACATCTGCCTTTCCAGTAAAAATAAGTATATCTTTAAAAAAAAATTTATATCAAGAACTGTCAAACTTCTAAGCATTTAGTTTGTAAATATGGTAGTTCTTGAGAACCGTACAGTTTCAGTTGTGACTGCTCAACTACAATGGCTTGAAATCCCAGTGGAATGTTTAGTCCTATGGACAATATGTAAATAACTGTTGTGTTTCCTTACAACCTTATACATACTGACATTTGAATTTCAGTAATGTTCACAGGTGAAACATTCTTATGGTTTTTGTGTGTTGTTTGTTCTCTTTTTTTAAATAAAAGATTTATTTATTTTTATTGGAAAGTCAGATTTATAGAGAAAAGGGAGAGGAAGATCTTTTCTGTCCACTGATTCATTCTCAAGTGGTCGCAATGCCCAAAACTGAGCCAATCTGAAGCCAGGAGCCAGAAGCTTCTTCTGGGTCTCCCATGTGGGTGCAGTGTCCCAAGGCTTTGGGCTGTCCTTAACTACTTTCCCAGGACACAAGCAGGGAGCTGGATGAGAAGCGGAGCTGCCAAGATTAAAACCAACGCCCATATGGGATCCTGGCACGCACAAGGCAAGAATTTCAGCTGCTAGGCTACTGCACTGGGCCTGTGTTTTTGTTTTTAATGGTACTTTAAACATAAAATTCTTAGCTGTGAGAGTGCAACATCAGATAGCCGACTGGATTTGGCTGGTAAGCTGTGATCTAGGGAGTTAAGTCTAACCCTGAAGTGTATTCACAGAGCTGCCACTAACTACACTAGAAATTCTTGAAAAATTTCTTCATAGAATTTTTCTGATGTTTAAAAGTTTGAATGGCTACAATGCACTTAAGTAACTATTGAAGCTCAGCTAATAGCCTTCCTACTGAGTCTTTTGTCTTTTGCCTGCCACCAACATTTAGAATTAACATTTAAGAACTGGTTTCAGATTGCAAGGTGTGGCAGTTAATACAGTTTACAGGATGCTTTTTTCCCATATTGGAATGTCTGGATTAAAGTACTGGCTGAACTTCCTGTTTTAGCCTCATGCTAGCATGTGCTCTGGGGGAGCAACCTTGGTGGCTCAGGTGCTGGGGTCCCTGACACTCATGTGGGAGATGTAGATAATAATATTCCTGGCCCCAGCATCAGCCCTGGACCCACCCTGCGTATAGTGCGCGTTTGAGGAGTGAACCAGTGGGTAGAAGATCAGTATCTCACTCTCCCTCCCTCTCTCCTCCTCCCTCTTTGGCTCCCTCTCTGCCTTTTAAATAAAATGAAAATAAAATTTGAAAGTTGCAATGTGGGCAAGCTACCAGTAAGTGGCACTCTTACCTCAAGTTTAAGGGGCTTAGAGTTGATTGCAAGGGAGTTGATTAAAATGAGGAAATTCAGAGGCACCTTCTAGGGTACTGTAACTCATGATCCCCTAATTCCAGGTCGTTAGTGTAAGCTTTGATTTGAATCATTAGATTCTAATTGGTGTCTGTTGAATCAGAGAATTGGTTGGGAAACACCTCAGAATGTTAGAATTTGGGTTCCATCATTTATTAGCTGCGAAGTATTGGTTTGGTTTATTAACTTTGATGACTCTTAATGTTCTCAGCCGTGGTGGTTACAGCAACCATACTTATGTAGATAGCATCTAATGTTGAGAATGAAGGGAAAAGACGAATTTTTTTCCAAAGCTCTTTTGTCCCCAAGCCACATGCTCAGGTCTCCAGGCTTGCTAATCACCTTGCAGAAGCATCTAGTCGGAGAAGCCTGTCAGAAACCCAGAGGCTTATTGCTGCCTGAGCCTAGGGTTTGACTCACTGCTGTTTGCAGGAGAGAGGGACAAATAATAGCAGAAATGAAAAGGGGATGTGTGTGTGTATGGTAATATAGATGTTATAGACAGAAGAATAAAGGTGTTCTTGAAAACTTACAACAAAATAGACAAGTTCTTTAAAGATTACCAATACTAACTTAAGGATAGGAAGACAATAATTCTCTCAACCATTTAAAAAAATGAATAAGTACTCAAATTTTCCTCACAAGCAGTCCAGACATTGCCAGGAAATACACACCTACATAAACAATTCTACTTTTATACAGGCTTTCTCAGAAGGGTAGTGTAAACAAAATTAGCAAATTGAGCCCAATAATATATAAACATAAAATAAAGGCTAATGTTTTATGGCCAATCTATTATAGAATACAGGATAGAAAAATAATGTATTCTGTCACAATAATAAAAAAGAAAAGCCACTTGATCATCTCAACAGATATGAAAAATGTATTTTTAAAATTTAACATCCACTCATTGAAAAGAAAAAAAAATACTATTAGAATTTCAGGCATAGATGAAAACTTCACGAGTATAATAGGTGATAGCTCTGTACGACTTATAGTATGTGTTATACTGAAGTTAAGAACCCGAAACTTTGCCTGTTAGAGATGGAAGAAAGGCTTGCTCTCAGTACTTCTACTGAAAGTGTACAAGATTTTTTGAGTAGCATGGCAAGGAAAGAAAAATAAGTACTAATGAAGAAGGAACTAAGCAATTATTAGTTGTAGAAAATAATTGTCAATATAGAAAATTCCATACAATTTACTGAGAACTTATTAGTAAAAATATTGTATTGGTAAAACACATTTTATTGGGCCTAGTGCAACTGGGGGCTGAATGGGCTGGGGAGTGTTACCTACCAGCCTGAGCTGGAACTTAGGGCAGGCCGGGCTGGGCCAGGCTGCCTCACCTGCTGGCAAATGCCAAGATGAGGCAGGCCATGTCAGACTGGGCTGCAGCACCCACCAGCAGATGTGAAACCTGCGTTGAGCGTGGGGGGGTGTAAGCTTGGTGGGGGGCTGTGGTGGGCTCTCCTGCTGGGCCATTGCTCCCTCTGGTGAACATGAGAATTGGGACTGCTACCTTCTACCCTCCCCTTTACTGTTCAGGATGTCAGACTTGGAGCTTTAAGACTTAAGGTCTACCTTGTTGGGTTTTGGTTTTGCTCTGTGTTGATTACTCCTTTCTATTTGGAATGGAAATGTGTGTCCTGCCATTGTATCCTAAAAATAGATAACTTATTTCTTGATTATATAGGAGCTCATAGAGGAGGAAGTTTCCTTTTAATCTTGAACCACACCAGTGGCTCAAGGCTCCAATTCTTCCTTAGAATCACCTGTAAAAAAAAAAACTTTCTTTTTGAATAACTGCAAATGCCTGGGCCTCTCCCACAAACCGGAGGGTTTGTTTGAGGCTAAGTCTGAGAATTAGTATTGAACCAGTTCTGAACCAGGTATACCCAGGATTGTCAATCATGGGTTTGTGCACATGGGTCGGGGGAGGGGTTACATGTGTTAGAATATTTGAAGAGTTAGAGAATCTCAGATGAGACTGTGGAGTGGTGCTGGAATAGATTTAGACTGTGGGACTGTTGGCATGGGAAGAAAGCCCTTTGTACTATGAGGACATGCTCCTTGAGGCCCAAGGCTAAGTACTGTGATTTGGATGTAGTTTATCCCCAAAAGGTTCATGTACTTTTAGAACTTTGGCCCGCAGGTGGCGATGTAGAGTTATTGGAACCAATGAGAGGTGAACTTCATGGGAGTTGGTTAGTTCACAGGGAGGTTATCACTCCTACAAGGTGTTAAGATCATTTTTTCACAGGGCTTCAAGTTATCAAGAGAGGGAGCAGGCCAGGTCCCTCTCCTTGTTCAGACTTCCTGCCCCATGTGGTCTCTCCCTTTCACACATATCCCCTCTCCCATTCCTGGTGAGATTATCATCAGATTCAAGCTAATGTCAGCAAGATGCCTTTGAGTAAGAAGGTCAGTAAATGTCTTTTCTTTATGAGTTACCCATCCTCAGACATTTTGTTATAATATAAAATGGATAATATACAGTTTTCAAAAGTAAACAGGAAATAGAAGTTAAACAAACATGAAAGTGTTCAGAAATCATACATACAGGAAAAAAGAAGGGATTAAGGTAATCTCTGGTGCTTTCAAGTCTAGAATTTAAGGAATTAGTAATTTAATAATATTTTATAATGCTGGTGTCAATAGCAATTCTAGAGATGGACAGAAAAGAGTTGTAAAAATAAAAAACAAACACAGAAACTGAAGCTGAAGCTTTGAAGAGTCTTGCCTAAGGTCATCTGCTCAGTAATGCCACCCCGACCACTCACTCACTCAATGCTACTTTATGCTTGAATCTGGACATTTGGTGGTTGTTATTAGTTATGTGAGCAGACATAAAGCGCAAAATTAAATTCATGAAATAATTTACAGTTGGAAAAATCTGGAGCTTAGGGACTTGCGTTCTTATTCTAATCACTAATCATGTCTCTTTAGGCAAATTGATATTGGTTTTAATTTCTTTTTTCACAAAATGGGGAAATTGACTGTGATCTCTTGAATACTGCCATTAGTTGAGTCTACAGAAATATATGCACTTTGAACACATCCAATATTTGTAGTAAATGTGTTTAACAGCGTAGGTGTGAGTGACAGAGAAATTCAGGAAAACGAAACATTGAGGAAGCTCACAGGAATTTCAGAAACCACTGAGCCTCAGAACTCACTTCCCTTTTATCAAGAAGCTTTGGCTGTTAAGATAGCCAGCCATATAAAGTCACTCTTACTGTGAGAGTACTTGGGTCTGAAACTTTACCTCAGTAATGGATACTCTGAGATGAAAGGAGCCTTCTGCATATGCCAGAGAGGTGACTACTGAGGCTCGCCTCAACTCCATCCTTGGGAGGGGGGAAGGAGGCAATGCAGATAGGAACATGTCTGTCTCCATATGGAGAATTTGACACTACCAAGGTCAGAATCAGAATATCAGAGGAGGAAGGTATGCATTTGCACTTAATATCTCCATTTTATAAACATCATAAATGAGGAACTAAGTTCTTGCAGAATTATGGAACTTAACCTAACCTGCATTTTAACAAGGATATGAATGAGGCTCTTAATCAGAGTATAAATTGTCAACAAATGTGACAATAAGGGACATACCAGTCATTGCTGTGCCCTCAACCTCCTGGTCTAGTGCCTTGCACCAAGTAGATGCTTCCTAAGCACTGGCTACAGTCTGCCTGGCCGGCTGCTTTGGCTGTACTGGTGCGTGATATGGTCATACTGTGTTTCCTGTTAGATAATGGGTTGGTCCATTTCAGGCCAATTTCAATGTGAGATTTTAGAAGCTTCTCTCTCCTTGTCTCCACTAGCACTTTCCTTACTCTCTAGTACTACTTCCTCTTTGTAGACAGCAGAAAATAGATATCAGAATGCATACAGGATGTGTGCGGTGCAGCATGACGGAGAACTGGGGTTTTCCTTTGATGTGACAGTAGACGTGGTAGCATTGACACAGAAATCATTGACGCGCTGGCGGTGCTCCTTGAGGGTGACTTCTGCTCGTGTGACTGTGGAGTAGAGACAGAAGTCCTCAGTACAGTTCAAAGAGTGTTCCGCCAGAGTTTCTTCTGCAGAATCCATGTTTTCACATTGTTGCTTTGATTGTGTCTTGCTTCTGCTGGTGCTGGTGCTATGTACAAGTAAGTTGGGACATGGGTACTTGTAATGGGAGAATGATGGTGTATGAGTGTAAGGGAGAGGGATACAAGCCTGGTCGTAGCAACGTTGCTTGTGATAACACGAGTTGTAAGAGTTTGGAAGCTGCTTGAATGCCCCTCTGTGGGAGAGTGAGGAAATATATGCGATAAATGTATGATGTGGACAATGAGTCTGATGAAAGACATTGGTGTAGAATGTCTCAGGTTGGAATGTTTCTGAAAGAAACGGAGGATAGACCAGTGTTTGTATTAGGTTTCTGTAAGTATGTGTGTGCCACCAGGTAGCAGTGATATGTGGACATTTCCTAATTACAGGTTCTAGGAAGGGGAGCTGGGAAATTTTAAAAAAAAAAGTGACAGAAGAGATCACTCTGTTCGTGATACTTGAAGGTTTTATTGCATATAGATGAATGCATGTTATATTTTTAAGAAATTGGTTTTAAACCTCCAAACAACCTGTTAATGATTTCAAAAGTACTTATTTGGCCATAATTTTTACCTGGTGTTTTGAAAAATAAGTGACGGAGAGGGATAATGTTGTGGCATGGTGGGCTAAACCATTGCTTGGGACTCCTACATTCTATATTAGAATGGCATTCAAGTCCTAAATATTCTGCTTTCAATCCAGCTCCCTGCTAATGCTCTTGTGAGGCAGTAGATGGTAGTCCAAGAGCTGGACTACCCGTGGCTACCCGTGTAGGACACCCAGATGGAGTTCTTAGCAGCTTCAGCCTGGCCCAGCTTGGCTATTGGAGCGACTTGGGGTAGTAAGTCAGTGTATGGATGCATGCTCTCTCTCTTACTCTACCTTTCAAGTAAATAAATGGGACAGAGATTTATGTTAATGTGGGCTTTCTTGATCATTTTTCTGGCTAACAGTGATTTACCATATGATTGCCTCTTTCCATTGCTCTGTCCTGTCACACTCACGGAACTGGTCTTCCAGTCTCTCCTGGGGCAGTAGTTCTGAAAGTGAGGATCCAAGACCAGCTATGGCAGCAATATCCAGGAGCTGCTAGAAACACAAATTCCCAAGCTTCACCCAGTCCATCTGAATAACTCTAGCGGTTGAGCGAAGCAGTCTGCGTGTTAACAGGCAGGCACTTCTGATCCCTTGCAAACCACTGGCACAATTAATCATCCTTCAAACACAACAGCAGCAGTGGCTTCGTCTTCTTTCTGGAACCCATCACCTGTGTTTTCCTGAGCTGGAACCCCCCACACTGCATGGGATTTATTTTCTTTCCCTCTCTTTTCAGGATCTTTGGAAGCGCAGTATGTGTTTGAGGTGGGTCAGAATGCTTATCTGCCCTGTAGCTACACTCCAGCCTCCTCAGAGAATCTTTTTCCTGTGTGCTGGGGGAAGGCGGCCTGCCCTTTGTCTCAGTGCCACAATAGAGTTCTCAGCACTGATGAAAGCAACGTGAAATACCAGCGATCTAGCAGATACCAACTAAAGGGGAATCTCCACAAAGGGAACGTGTCCCTGACCATAGAGAATGTGACTGCAGAAGACAGCGGGACCTACTGCTGCCGGATAGAGTACCCAGGCATCCTAAATGATAAAAAGTTGAACCTGGAGTTGGTCATCAAACCATGTGAGTGGAACCTTACAGCCTTCTTTATGTATACAGTTTGCCTACGATTCCTATTAAATAGATTGATTGCTTTTTACTTCTGGTCTCTTAAATTACAGCCCTGGTGTTGGGTTTGCAAGACCAAATAGTTACCAGATCCCACCAGTGAAGACCAGTGATGTTTCATATTTTATTACTCCATCTAGTATCTATAAAACAGGAGTAAAGGCCTGTACCAGTGGTTCGAGACCCCAATTCTTGCTTAGAATCACTTACAAAGAAAATCTTTATACAACTACAAATGCCTGAACCCCACCCACAAATCAGAGGGATCAGCATCTCTGGAGGCTAAGTCTGAGAATAGTGTTAGGCAAGGTCTTTGCCAGGTGTAGCCAGGATGGTGAAGCACTGGTTTATGCACTGGGATACGGAGGTGGGGGTGGGGGGGAGGAGGGGCGGTGCATGTAGTTGTATGTTTCAAGAATTACAGAGTACCCATTTTGTACCCATTTAGCATTGGTGTCCACCAGAAAGATCTTATGAAATACTTTGTATGTAAATGCTTTAGTGTGGTCACTTGCGTGACTGTTGGTTTTGTTGTTAATAAGGAAACTGTAACAACATGGTCTGGATTTTACTCCCATCAAATAGTTAAAGTAAGTGACGCCCTCTAGGCAGAGGTGTCTAGGTAGGTTAGGAGGCTAAAGATAAGTTTCTCTTTATTTGTTGTCTTCCTTGTTTTTCCTGCCTCCCCTTTAATGCTTTAGAACAAGCCCTCTGCTCCCAGAGAAATCTCATCCTTCTGTTGGTTTCTCATACTAGCCAAGGTCACCCCTGCTCCGACTCCACAGACAGACTGTACTACAGCCTTTCCAAGGATGCTTACTACCGAGCAACATGGATCAGGTAATCATACATGGGGCACAGCAGGAAGCCCTTAGCAGGTTTCTCAGTTCTAAGGGTTCTAAACATGGGAAAATGTTGAGATATATGAAACAGTGTTTGAGGGGAGGGAACTGGAGGAGACACCTATGTTGGGGAAAAGCCTACACATGAGTCATATGACCTGAGCCAAGATTTTTCACTTCTATGGAACTGAGCTTTCTTTTTCGTCTAAGGAGTGGGTTTAGAGGTTTTCAAACTTACAACTCAGTAAAATTCCCCACTTCCTAAGAGTTTTGGTAATGTCCATGTTTTGCCAAATAAGGATAAAATAAATCTTCTGTCTTCTATGCCACTCTTGTACTAAAAAAGATAATCTTTTAGTCATTCTTTTATTTACATTTTAGTTTAAAAGAACTTAATAAAAACTAGGTATTTCTTATACATTAAGTAAATTTGACTTAATGAGAAAAGCTCATTATGTTGTCCTTACCATTTTCTAACGTACTCCAGATAATATTTTAGCATGAGCTAAACCTAGCCTGTGTTAGGGGGGCTCTTATGAGGGTATTTCAAAGTTTTCAGGAAAGTAGAAATTTAAACATAAGTTGATTTTGGTGCAAACAGTTTTGAAATCCAGGCACGGAATTGTTGTAATTCACATTTTCCTGACATTTTTGATGCATCTTTTAGCTTGCATTAGATGATTGTAGTGTTCTTCTAAATGGGATAAAGCTCATGGACTGCTTTGGTTCCTGTCTGGGAAGGAGTAGCTGAATGATTCATGTAGTTCATCAAGGGCATTTCTGGGCTGCAAGGGAAGAGGAGGAGCAGAAAGAGTAGACCTCAAGTTCATTGATTAAGAAGGTTAATCTTGAGTTATTGCTGGGCATACCCCTTGTCTCTCTCAGGCTCTCTGGAGCTCTTTTTCTTTTTTTCTACAAAATAAGATGATAATTGGCAAGCCTGTTATAGCCAGTGTCACACCATAACATGAAATAGCAAAGCTGCAAGTTGAAATTGCTTAGTTCTGGGTGTGAGCACAGTGTGGACTCAGTGATGTTAGCTGTCATCCTAAGTGCTGTTGGTACTATGATGAGCCAGAGTGAGATTGTGCTTAAGTATTTCTGTAGTAAATGGAGCAAGTTCTCAATTTTGTTTTTCTTACTAACTCTGTGAGTTCAGTAAAGATGCTTCAATATTGTGACATCGGTTTCTTCATTTCAACAATAAGGGAGTTTCAATCTCTACTTCGTAAAGGCTGTTGTAAAAATTCAACATGAGAATGTGGGTCAGGTGTTCGGCAGAGTGTCCATATTCCATAGAAAGAACTCAAATATTAGTTACTATTAAAATACTAATCTACTTTAATTTGTTTTATGAAAATATTTATTTATTTATTTATTTATTTATTTATTTGAAAGACTGAGTTAGAGAGAAGAGGGAGATGATAGAAAGATATCTTCCATCTGCTGGTTTGCTCCTCAAATGGTCATAATAACTAGGACTGGACCAGGCCAGTCAGGAGCCAGAAGCCTCATCCAAGTCTTCCGTGGGCATACAGGGACCCAAGTACTTGCTCATCTTCTGCTGCTTTCCCAGACCTATTAGCAGGCAGCTGGATAGAAAGTGGAGCAACTAGGTCTCAAATCAGTGTCCATATGCCTGCTTAACCCACAGTGCAACAGTGCCAAATCCTTAACTTTTTTTTAAAAAAAAAATTATTTATTTTTATTGGAAAGTCAGATATACAGAGAGGAGGAGAGACAGAGAGGAAGACCCTCCATCCGATGGTTCATTCCCCAAGCGGTCACAATGGTCGGAGCTGAGCCGATCCAAAGGCAGGAACCAGGAGCCTCTTCCAGGTCTCCCACACAGGTGCAAGATCCTAAGGCTTTGGGCTGTCCTTGACTGCTTTCTTAGGCTACAGACAGGGAGCTTGATGGGAAGCAGGGCTGCCAGAATTAGACACAGCGCTCATACGGGATCCCAACATGTTCAAGATGAGGACTTTAGCTGCTAGGCTACTGCACCAGGCTCAGGACCCTTATGTTTTAATTTTTAAGGGTTCAGTCCTGACTTCCCTTCTAATAATTGGAAGCTAGTGCATCTGACATAGTTGATGGAAAAATTAATTATGGTGGGAACAGATAATCAAATTTTGGACTAATCAAGTCATATGCAATATTTTTGGTATGTTATCATTGTATTTTCTTTTTAAAAAATTATGTGATTGAAAAGAGATTTATAGAGAGAAGGAGATACACAGAGAAAGATACTCTGTCTCATGGTTCGCTTCCTAAGTAGCTGCAATGGTTGGAGCTAAGCCGATTCAAAGTCAGGAGCCAGACACCTTATTGTGTCTCCTATGTGGATGCAGGGTCCCAAGGACTTGAGCCATCCTCTGCTGCTTCCCCAGGCCATAATCATAGAGCTGGATAGGAGTGGAGCAGCTGGGATATGACTGGCACCCATTTGGTAACAGGTGGCAGATTAGCCTGTAGAACCACCATATCAACCCCATCGGTTCAAGCCCCATATTTCAAGAATTTAGAATCACAGACATAGAAAGGACTTGAGAGGTTGTGTAGTTCTGCTTTCCCATTCTGGACTTCAATGCTCAGGACAAATGCTGTGTTCACACATACAGGCATGGAAAGGGTGGGGAGCTGAGTCTCTTTCTCTGTAGTTTTGCTTACTCCTTCCCTTTAGCACACCAATAATGAGGCCATCTTTTGCTTAAGGGCCCGTGGGCTCAGTACCCCAAATCTCTGAGCTTTTTATGGAAGTGGCTAAGAGATTATTTAAATTAGAAAAAGTCATGATTCAAAAATTGGAAGAGAAATAGAAATGAGTGGGTGTTTAATATCTAGAACATGTAACGTCATGTCAGTCATCAGCAAGTCTATTTTCTACATAGTTGTAACTTCTTTTTAAATGTGGGATGTGGGTGCATCTGATATGCTTGATAAAAACTGAGTGGAACTTTCAGAATTCCAAAGGCTGTGGAATGTACTAAACTTATCTCTAACACATAACAGATACAACCTCTGTGTCCTGCCTGAAGAAGGCAGGGCTGGGTCACAGGTATGTCCTCTCTCCAATTAAAAATTGTATGAACTGGGGCAAAATACACATTCAGCTGGAAGATGTGCAAAATAATAATATGTACATGTTTGTGGTGAGCATGAAATGAAATTGTGCTTTTGTATTGCTAAGCAAAATGACACAAAATTAGCTTCGAATAGGTGGCAACTACTGAAGTTATACAGTACTTTTAAGGGCGTCGCAGTCCTTGCCACTGCTGGCTTCGTGCTAGCCAAGCCTTGGGTCCTCTAAGAAAAACTTTCACAGCACTGCTTGGTATCACTGATCAGTTTCATAACCAAGTTAAGTTAAAAAAAAAAGCAAAAAAACTGACAGTCATGCCATTTAGACTAAGAATAATGTTTATGGGGAAGTAGAAACTGAATTGCCATATGAAATTCTTGTGTGTGGTTAGATTCTTGTTTACTTAGAAGTTCCACCTATGTGGTTTTAATGCTTTAAATTCCTTTTGGGTAATAACAGCAATGGTAAATGTATCATTACCTTTTTGCTGTTTTTCCCACTCCCCGTAGGTAGTTTTAAATTTGAGCCTATGCCTTTATATTTAAATTATAGTCTTTGAAACTAGAATTTGGTTGACTACTTTGCATACGTTAAAGTAGTTAGATTTTGAGGTTTTCAGAAGATGATGCTGATATTTAAGGGCTTGCGAAGTCTCTGACTCAGCCAGAAAGATGAGTAAGCATGCTTAGTTTGCCCACAGCTGACTGTATTTATTTTCGAATACAGTGTCTGCAAGGTCTGTACCCATCTGGCTTGCTTTGCCGTCCCTTGTGCCTGGCATAGGGTAGAGATGAGTAGCCTGTGAATATCTACACAGATGAAGAAATAAACAAATGAAAGGAAAGATGAGCATGCAACTGAGCAAGGTGAACATCTCATGGTGTGACAGTGCTGGTGGGAAGGAAGGCTGTTAAAATCCATACGATTTAGCGTGCACATTTAAAGCCTTGTGTTGGAGGCTGGCAGCATGATGTAGCCAGTAAAGCTGCCAAAAGCAGCATCGGCATCCTGTGTAGGTGTATCAGCATCCTATGTGGGTGTGAGTTCAAGTCCTCACTGCTCCACTTCCAATCCAGCTGCATTCTAATGTGCCTAGGGAAGCAGCAGAACACGGCCTGTGTACCCCCAGGGGAGACCACAGGAAGAAGCTCCTGAGTCCTGCTTCATCTGGCCCTGCACTTGCTGTTATTGGCATTTGTGAAATAAACCAACAGATGTGAGACTTTTCTCTCTGTAACTCTGCCTTCCAAACAAAAACAAAAATGAAAAACAAACAACAAAAAATGTGTGTTAAATTGAAGACTATTTCTAGCACTCACCAAACTGTATGACCTTAAATAATCATTTGCCCACTTTCCAGTTTCTTTATCTGTGTAAGCAGAAGAATGATCACTTAAGGCAGTTGTTCTGAATGTCACATGATATATTTCATTAAAAATGTTTAGCGCAATACCTGACTCCTGGTAAGTTAGAGCTGTTTCCATTTGTAGGCAACTGTCTCTCTTCTAGTAAATACTGTGTCTCTTCTAGCAAGTAACTGATAAAAAAAAATTTAGGAAAATGAGTTTTTGTTGTCTTTCAAGGTCTAATCAGGATAAAATGTCCAAATATTAACAATGTCACTAGATTTTAGTAGAGTCTGTTAGGGTCTTGTGGACAAAAAAAGATTATGTCTTCAATATTGGACTTCCTGGCAGAAATCTGTTTCATCAAATCTGTGCAAGGGGTCATAATGATCATACTAAAATAACTTTTTGTTGGTCTTCCAAGTATTATAAAGAATATGAAGTGAAATTAGGTTCAAATGCATCAACATACAATTTCAAACATTTAAAATTCAGACAAAAGATAGCATTGCTGACTATGATCTCCTTTTGTTGCAGAGATACAGACTCTCCATGACAAAAATCAAACAGTAAGTAGCCCTTTTGTGTGTGAGCAAACATAATGCTTAGCAACAACAACAACATCTGGCTTTACATGGCCTTTATGCCCCTCCTCTGCTTGGGGCAGAAGTCTGACCCTCCCTACACTTCAGCTTGTTGGGCCTTGCTGACAGCTTGTTGGTGATGTGACAATTCTAATTACACAGGCCCGCTGGAGGGAGGAAGTGAGGTTGTGTGCGGGAAGAGCATGTACCACAGTGAGCTCTGAAAAACCAGAAAGAGGAAGTGATAGAACTTTGCCCTTCTCCACTGTCACAAACCGGGGTGCCACTATGGAGGACTCCAAGATTGTATCTCCTTAGAATACATTCTCTTTTGCTTCCATTAAAAGACAGCAAGAAGGACTTTATATATATGTACATATATATCAATTTACATCCTCCAGACACCAATTGGAATTATTAAAAGCCAACTATTTGTATCTTCACCTATGAATTAAACACTCAGCTAATCATGATTTTAGTGTTCCCTACCTCCTCAGAGGAAGAGGAAAATCTTTAGAAAACAAGTGTTATCAGGACTTAAAATTCTTGAAGGATGTATCCAGGAATCAGTATTCACTTGACTCTCTCTCCTCCTTGGATATTCACAATCGATGCCTAGCATCTTTTGCTTGTCCCTCCTCTCTTTGAGATGAAAGACTGCCTTTTAAGTAGCTTGGAGTGCCCCCAGTGCATAATGCACAGCACCTTGCACAGAGGACTCCTGCTGCTGCAAGAGTAGTATGTTTGGAATAAATGTGTAAATGTGTGTTGAATAAATGGACCATTAAACCTCCTTGACTTATACTTGTTTTTAAACTTTTTAAAAAAATTAATATTTGGGAGATAATGAGGCAAAGAATTGTTTTAGCTGTGGGAACTGATAACTCAACCCAAGACTCCCACATGGGTGCTGAGACCCAAACACTTGAGCCTTTAGCTCTGTTCTCCAGGGTCTACATTAAAGTTAGTCAAGGCAGCAGCTGCAGCTGGGAATTGAACCCAAATGCTCTGGTGTGGGACACAAACGTCTTAACTGCTAAGCTAAATGCCTATTCCCTCCAAGTGCTTACTCTCATTGCTTTCAACAAGAGAAAATGGGCTAATATTTTAGAAACAGAAGAGTTTTTGTGACTTTCAGCAGAAAATTACCCTGAATAGTAGCTATAATAACTATTATTTACTAAGTATTTCCTGCAAACCTGGTCTGGTGCTAAGCACTTGCTACTTTTTGTCAGTTAATTCTACCAGGCACTGTGCAAAGTCACTGGGTTCATAGTAATGGATCAGAAATTTCTACCCAAGACTCTGGCTGCAGGCTGGGGTCTTAAATCTCTGTTTTTCTGTGACAATTAGAATTTTCACTGTAAGATCATAGACTACTCTGAAACTCTCTGGCGGAGCACCAACCAGGACATTCTGAAAGAACAAGACTGCACTTCAGCATCTCTGTGTGTTTGGGAAGGAGCAGTCTATTTCCTGAGAGTTCCTTGAGCTGTTGCACAGAAGGGCATGTGGTTTTTGCTGCTGTCTTAAAATAGAGGGGCAGTACTTTTCCTTCTTTTATTTTTTTTCTTTTTTAATGACTTTATTTATTTTTCTTAGAAAGGCAGGTTTGCAGAGAGAAGAAAGGCAGAAAGATCTTCCATCTGCTGGTTCATTCCCCAAGTGGCTGCAATGGCTGGAGCTGAGCCGACCTGAAATCAGGAACCAAGAGCCTCTTGCCAGTCTCCCACAGGGGAGATTGGCTTTGGACTATCCTCTACTGCTTTCCCAGGCCACAAGCAGGGAGCTGGATGCGAAATGGAGCAGCTGGGACAGGAACCAGCACCCATTTGGGATTCCAGTGCATGCAATGTGAGGGTTTAGCTATTGAACCATCATGCCAGGCCCAAGAGCAATCCTTTTTTCTAGGGGCAATTTGAGGCTAATCTGCCAGAAAACAAATGAAAGGTGGTTTCAAGGTCCCTGCAGTCACATAATGCGATCAAGGGAGTGTTTCATTTCATAAATCCTGAGGCTGAGTACACAGCCAGTTCCTGGATGTTTGCTGCTTAAATTCTCTTTGTCTTTATAGTCAGGATTCTCATTGTCTACTGAATTGCAAGACTCCACAGCAACCACTGGATTCCGTGTCTTCATTGGAGCAGGAGTCTCTGCTGGGATAGCTCTAATTATTATCCTTGGCGTTCTAAGTCTAAAATGTAAGTCATTTGCCATTGCTTCTATCTTCCTTGTGTAGGAAGCAATATAAACTTAAATAAAAATACATATTTTTAAGGATTTTGAAGGATGATTAGATCATAGCCAGTTTTTATTCAGTACTTACAGTGCTTCAGGTAGGCATTATGTAAAAATATTTGCATGTATTTTGTTATCATCATTCTATAAGATAATATTACTATGCCCATTTTATAGCAGAGGAAAGCAAGGCTTGGAGAGGGTAATGCTACTCCCTAAGATTTCAGAATCAAGAAATAGAAAAGCTGGAGTGTCCCTTCTCTTATCTTTGGTTAAGAAAACTAATCTTTGTCACCCATAAATATGCCTAGGTGCATTTGGAACCAAGGTAGTACACACCGCTTTGTTCTATTCATGTTTCCATGTATCTGCTTCCCAGGCAAGAGTTCTTCATGGAGCGGCACCAGCTCCTTCAGCATTATGTCTTGACCAAGTTCCAGAACTTGGTTTTCTCTGTCATGGCACTCATCACAGATGTTTTTTTTTTCCTCATTATTTACATTAAAAACAACTTTACTAGGTATAATTTATAGATAATAGATGTTTTTAAAGTATGTTCAATGGGTGAATCTTGGTGGACTTTTACAATGGGAACTCCACAGTCGTGATCAAAATATATCTATTTCCATTATCCCAGAAGCTTCACACATGTTGAGAACTGTGACGTAGGATGTTTTTCTGTCAGGACAGACTCTGAGATCTTATATCAGCTTTTCCAACTAATTATAAGCAAAAAACCTGGGACTGTGAGTGAAGATTTATCAACCACCCCTGATGGGCTCAGGACTGAAAGAGGGTTCCTAATATATTAGATTCTCAGTGCCAAAAGTTAAATAGTCCAGGAAAAACTGAGATGCGTTCCAGGCATCCTGACTGTGTCTGGAACCTTTGAAGTGCTTCATGTGCTTTAAGACATTTGTTTGTACCACATGACGTAAGTACAAACAGTATTCTGGAGGAGAAACAACATGTGAGAAGTTGAGTACCTTGCTCAAGCTCACAAGATTGATTGATGGTTATAGGGTTTGAAACAAGGGATTATGATGTATTATAATTGTGCCATTCCTGGTAAATGAGTGTTCAGAAAAAGAAGCTGCCCTACCCACACGCTCACCGTGGTTTTCTCACTGAAGCCAGTGGTGTTTGTGGGTTGATCTCGTGGATATGATGTTGACGGGCTGTTAAGGTGCAGCATTACTTTTCTGAAATCTGTCAGGTTCTGGATATTAGGGATCACCCTCGTTTATGTTAAGTGTCATGAGGCAAGGGAGAAATCTGATGTTTGTGTATACACAGATTGCCCAAGTCTGACTTTTCTGCATTTAAGGGATCTCATCCAATCTCAAATGGAAGACAGTTGAAAAAAAATTGTGTGTGTACTCAACACATGAAGACTTTTAATACTTGCCATTATTCCCTATACAATACAGTATGACACCATGTACATAGCATGTACATTACTTTAGGTATTATTAGTAATCTGGAGATTATTGAAAACTCCCAGGAAGATGTCCCCTGTTGGGAGAGCTCTCCCTTGCCCTTTCCTTGGCTGACTCTGTCCTTTCAGATCTGAGCTCAAATGCCATGTCCTCGGACAACTCTTCCCTGACCACCTTCTCTGTGATCTGCTTCAGTGTTTTGCTGATTTCCTTCATAATACATCATAATTAGAAATTATTTTCTTTTTCATTAACTATTTAAAAGTTCTTGTTCTTCACCTGCTACCCTCCACCCTGCCCACCCCAAATCTCTTTCACTAGAATGCAAGTCAAGTCATTTATCAAGTTAGGGCTCCCAGTTTAGCTTTGTCTCCCTTGGTGCCTGGCAATCTCCAGGCACATATAGATGCTCCATAATGTTTCTTAAATAAGAAAAATTCATCTTTGTTACTTTGTAGCACCAACTATATAGTAGACTAAGGCATATGACCAAGTTTGTTTTAAATCAGATTGAAACCCAGTTGTTCCTTAAACAACTCTTGCCTCCAGTGATTCTGTTTTGTTTCTTGTCTCATTTATGTTATGAAGGCATTTGTATTGACTTTTCCCCCCCTGTTTAACCTAGGGCATTCTCATAGCAAAGAGGAGTTAAAGAATTCAAGGTAAGAATGATGGAATGCAGAAGGGGGTGGGTGGGGATTTTGAAGGCTTTGGGAAATCTTGCTCTGGGGTTTTGGGAGCTAAGCTTATATTTGTGTTTTGCCCTCACCCTAACAACAAAGTGAGAACTCTAACCTCCTCTAGTTACTTCTTCATACCTGTAGGCAGTTGAATTACAAAGTTAAAGTTTTTTCCTCTATTAATGTGGAATGTTTGTGAATCTCTATGTTAATTATTTTTAACCAATGTACTAAACCTATAATAACCAAGGTTTGGGCTGGACTTTGACAATACAGAAGTAAATTAGAATAAATTCATAGATATTTTCTATTGCTCAGCCTAGATGTTTTCAGTTCTGATTGTTGATTACAGTTACTTAGGGACTTGTGCATAGCAAGGTGGGACCAGCCCCAGAGCAACTGAGTCAGAATCTCTGTACATGGGGCCCAAGCACAGGTATATTTCTAGAAACTCTCCAGGTGGTTCTAATGTACAAGCACTGCTTGATAACCATAGGTCTACTATGTATCTGTGTCTTAATATTCATTCCTGACTGTAAGCACACATCTATCCCAGGTAGTATAGTTTATATATTAATTTTTGCTAGGTTTCTAAATTTTAGTGACATTTGTTACATGCATGAGATATAGTATATTTTGAGAAAAAACACCCTATTTGTTGAATTATTTCTAAACCACTTTAGACTAAGTAAAATATGGTATCCCATCAGTCCTCAACAAACTTCCTCTGGAGAACATTTGAAAAAAGATAATTGTGTCTGTATAGAACATACGGATTTTTCATTTATTTCCTAAGTGATATAATATAATATCCTTTTATATATAATTTCCATTGCATTAGGTATAATCAGTATACCCATATATAGTATAGAGATTCTTTCAAGTATATGGGAGGATATGTATAGATGATATGCAAATACCTTGCTGTTTTATATGAAGAAATGCAGCATCTGTGAAATTTGGTTACTGTAAGTTTTCTGGAACTAATCCCTGCCAGGTAGCAAGGGAAGATTATACTTTGAGACAAAGTAATCTGAAGTAAATGGCAAGCAAAAGGTGATGGGTGTGTGTGGGGGGGTGGTATTAGTAAAGATACTAGATAAGATACATCAATTGGTTAAGCATCTGGATTTAATACCTGATTTTGTCACTGGACTCCAACTTCCTGCTAATGTGGACCTTGGAAGACAGTGGTGATGGCCTAAGTAATTGGGTTCCCTCTACCCACCCGAGAGAGCTGGATTGAGTTCAAACTCTTGGCTTTGGCTCCTGGCCTTAAGAGAATTTGGGATGAACCAGGACAGTGCGTGTGTGTGTGTGTGTGTGTGTGTGTGTGTGTATCTGCATTTCCAATAATTCAATCAACTTCTACTCGAACTATTTAATGATCACTGCTTTTAGATTATCTATGTAAATATTCTTTATTAGAACTAAAACTTTAAACTATAACATTCATCTAATCATCAATAATATATACAAACATTACTTCCTTGTCCATGATATCATGGTTAATGTTCAGCTCCAACTATAGATAGTCAGTTCTATAGCATGTCAGAACTGCTGTGCCATATGACTTACTACCCCCCTGGTTCTTAGCAAGCACTTCATCTATGTGGATGGTTGAATGGAAAAGCACTCACCAAGCATCTCGTGAGATGGGGCTCTCATCCTATTTGTCAAATGAGGATGTTTATATGCCACATTATGGGATTTTTGTGTTTTGTTTAATACTACAAATCCAGCTACACAGAACAGTAACACACTAATTATTTGTCAAAAGGAGTGAAAAGAAAAAGAACAAAATGAATTTACCCAAAGTCTTATAACTGACCAGTGACACAGAATTCAAACTCAAGTCTGATTGGATTCAAGACATACTCATTTTCTTTTACTTTTTCCTTTTGAAATCACTCAGGCCCACAGAAAAGATTGAACTCATGGCATGAAGAACAGTAGAACATTTTGCCTAAATCCCTCATTTAATGTTTAGATCAGCCTGGTTTATCTCAGTCTCCATGTACATCTTTTTTCCCCTTGAACCATTTGTAAGGAAGATGCAAATATTTTGACATTTCACCAAATTCCAACCTGCATCTCTTCAAAATGAGGATATAGCATTTTTAAGACTAAGAATATTAAGATTAATTCAAACATCTTCAAGTGTTCCCAAATTATTTTATTGTCATTTTAGGACTTTCCTCCCTCAACCAGTATGTGATCATGGTTGTGCACCACCTTTAGTTGCTGTATTTTTGAAGCCTGTTTTCTTAACCCTGTTCTGTGTCATCTAGGAAGTGCTTAATTCAACTGCAGCATTTATTTCCACAGCCTCATCACTTTGGCCAACCTCCCCCCATCAGGGTTAACAAATGCCATGGCACAGGGGCCACGTTCAAATGACAACATCTACGTCATTGAGGAGCACGTGTATGAAGTGGAGGATGCAAACGAGTATTACTGCTATGTTAACAATGAGCTGCGATCCTAACATCTTCTGGGTTGTCACCCTTCACCTCCATTGCATCTAATCACTCCAATTTGGACCTTGGCATCCTTTCTGTTGAAACTTATGAGATATGCCATCTAATTGATTTTAGAAGATATATAGTGGAATTTTCCCATTTTCTGAAGACCATTTGCTCATCTGCAGTTTGCACTATGTAACCTATACTGGACAGGCATATCATTTCCTCTGTATACAGCCAACAAAACTGTTCAACCTAGGGATTACTAATCATGATGTTGAAGGGCAAATGGGCTTTTACATGGTGATTCCTAGTAAGGAATCTCTGGAATTCCAGAATATTCAAGCACATATTGTGTCCGTGAAGCTGCTGAAAATGTAGGGAAATTTGTGTGTTGCACTATCGTTTTTTTTTGTTTGTTTGTTTATGTTTTGGTTTTTTGATACAGAAAGTCTAAAGAGGCCACTGATTTTCATAGACTGTGATAGAAGGTTAAGAAATGACTGGAGCTGGCACCATGCATAGTAAAGCCAACCTTCTGCTTGTGGAGCCAGCATCTCATATGGGCTCTGGTTTAAGTCCCAGCTGCTCCACTTATGATATACCCCTCTGTTTGTGGCCTGGGAAAACAGCAGAAAATGGCCCAAGCCCTTGGTACCCTGCACCCACTTGGGAGATCTAGAAGAAGCTCCTGGCTCCTGGCTTTGGATCGGCTCAGCTCTGGCTAATGTGACTATCTGAGGAGTGAACCAGAGGATAGAAGATTTCTCTGTCTCTCTCTCCTTGTCTGTGTAACTCTGACTTTCAAATAAAAGTCTTAAAAAAAAAACACAGAAGGACATGACTGACTCAGGACCATGTGATCTGATCGATTCCCTCTGAGCGTTGAGGCTTGTGCCTCTGTGAATGTTGTATGAGCCACTGCACAACTCTCCTTTGATTCACTGAAGGGGACAGCAGGAGCACAGTGGAAGAGCATACGGCTTGTGGGTTGCTAACTACTTATTTTTTGTGCATAAAGGAAAATATCCTCTGACCAACTTCCCCATTTGTGGAGAGAACTGAAGCTTTGTTTTTCAGAGAAAAAGAAGCAGTAACTGGAACATAAATTCTGTTTCCTGGTGGAAGAAAGGAAAAGGCCTCCAGCAATTTGTACTGACGGTGTCAGGCCCACTGATGGAAAGACAGTGGTCCCTGAACTTGAATTCCAAGACAGAGCAGACTACTCTATCCTTCTTATTATTGCCTCCCCATGCCTGGCATGGGTAAGACACATCATGGAAACTTACTTAATATCTTTAGAGTTAAAAAAAAATTAAGTAAGCAATAGGTAGTTTTCTGGAAAGACAGTTTCACTTGTGAGCTCAGGCAGACTGTGACTTTGTAACTTCTTTGGAAAACTCACAAATACCTGTAAGCTCTCCCATATATAATGTTATCCAGGCTAAAGCAAACTTTGAGTCTCAGCATCACCCAGCTCAAGCCCTTGGGAGTCCTGTTTCCTTGTTCCTGCTGAGCTCCTCAACCCTTAAAGAATGAATCAAGAATATGGATCTATGGCCAGCACAATGGCTCAGCTGGCTATATCCTTGCCTTGTACACACCGGGATCCCATGTGGGAGACCTGGAAGAAGCTCCTGGGTTCTATCTGCTCAGCTCTGGCCATTGTGGTCACTTGGGGAGTGAACCAGCAAATGGAAGATCTTTCTCTCTGTCTCTCCTTCTTTGTAAATGAATAGGCTTTTCCAACAAAAAGAAATAAAATCTTAAAAAAAAAAGAATATATATCTGTATTTGCTTAAAAATACCCACAGGTGATGACTAAGCTATTGTTCTGTGTGTAGAAAATGTTGGTCTCAGAGGACACAGGTGGCCTGTTCATTTCTGGAAGTCTGTCTGGCAGTCTTGTGTTGTGAATTAATTTTGGAAATGCATTTAGATAGTTTTGCAAGGCATTGCCCTTCTGCTGCAGGGTAATAAGGGAGATAATTTTCTAAAGCTAATTATGGACAGCTATTCTTGTGGCTGAGAAATTAATCATACATATTTTTTAAAAAAGTACACAATTCCAAAGAAAGGAACTTCAAAACACATTGTGATCATATCAGTGATTTCCCCAGGAAGAGGTTTTTATCCTATAAAAATCTTTAGAATGATCATTGCAACAGTGTTTTAAGAGGTTTTTTTTTTTAACATGAATACTGGAATAGTTGATTATGTTACATCAAAACACGGATAGTTAAAAAAGATTAGGCACTCCAGTGAACTGTTTTCCTAATTCAACAAGTATTGTTTGAGTATTTATCTGCTTTCCTGGGGCTGACACCACTCATCCGAGAAGAATGTTGTGTTGTTACAGAAAAAGTTCTGAAATCAGATATAACTTAAATGAAAATAGTGATAACAGTGAATATGTGACTTGTTCTTAGAAGTGCCTGAGGGTTTTTCTTCCAAAGTTGCTGACCGGAAACTCACAGGCTCTGAGAAGTGGTAGAGGGAAGGTATCGGAACCTTTTAGAAAGAAAAGAAAAGAAAGTTTTGCTATGCCTTATTTTCCTATCATGTCTGGATTTGAATTCTCAAGACAGAAGTTCCAAGCAATTCAACTTCTCTCTAATTGATCCAGGTATCCTAAGTCAGGTCATAAGAACAAAAATGTATTTTTTTCTTTTTTATACTATGAGGGTCTATTTATAAAAGCGGCTAATTGAATTTAAATAGAATACTCATTACTCACATACAATAAAAAGCACTTTTAAAAGCCTATTGTTTAAGTTTGTCAAATATATGCGCATATGTAACTATCACTCCAAGTAAGACGTTACCACTCTTAAATTCCAAGTGGGCCTCGTGTCTCCTCTTCCCAAACATAGTGTCTGAAAACAAATTCATTTTGTGTCAGATTTTTTCAGAAAAAAGTCTGTGTTGTTTTGGAGATAGCAGAGGTGATCTTAGGGTAGTCTCATTTTTAGGATTCTCTATTGTACTTTTCTGGGACTCGAGTCCTTAAGCTCCTACACCCATGGGGGAGACCCCGAAGAAGTTCTTGGCTTCTGGCTTCATATCAGCCCAGCTCTTGCCTCTTTGGCCATTTTGGGAGTGAGCCAGTGGATGGAAGATCTCTCTCCCTGTGTGTGTGGGTGTGTCCTTTTCCTTCTTGCTCTGCCTTTCTAAGATAGTTTTTAAAAGGTAGATTCACAGTGCTTTGTTTTTTTTGTTTTTTAAGATATTTATTTTGGACCTGTTGTGATACCTTAGTGGCTAAAGTCCTCGCCTTGCATCTGCTGGGATCCTGTATGGACGCTGGTTTGTGTCCTGGATGTTCTACTTACTATCTCCCTCCCTTATTGTGGCTTGGGAAAGCAGTGGAGCATGGCTCAAGACCTCTGGACCCTACTCCCGTGTGGGAGACCTGGAGGAGGCTCCTCACTTCTGGCTTCAGATCAGCTTAGCTCTGGCTGTCGTGGCCACTTGGGGAGTGAATCAGTGGATGGGAGATCTTTCACTCTGTAAATGTGCCTTTCCAATAAAAATAAATAAATCTTTAAAAAAAATTGTATTTATTTTGGGCCCGGCGCAGTGGCGCAGTGGTTAAGGTCCTCGCCTTGCACGCCCGGGATCCCATATGGGCACTGGTTCTATCCCGGCAGCCCCGCTTCCCTTCTAGCCCCCTGCCTGTGGCCCAAAGCTTTGGGACCCTGCGCCTGTGTGGGATACCCGGAGGAAGTTCCTGGATACTGGCTTCGGATTGGCATAGCATCGGCCATTGCGCTCACTTTGGGAGTGAATCATCGGATGGAGGGTCTTCCTCTCTGTCTCTCCTCCTCTCTATATATCTGACTTTCCAATAAATAAATAAATCTTTACAAAAAATACCTGAATAAGAATTAGCTGGTCCTTCACTCTGACAACACTCAGTTCATTGCTCCCATTAAACAAGGGTAATTTTGTGAGCATTTTGCTGGGAAACCATTAGGGATCCACTTGTTGATCATTATTTGTCTCCTGAGTTCTTTTTATTTCCTAATCTTACAAAATCTTTAAAGGGCATACATTTTTCATCAGGAATCAATGTAGAAAGGACCATATTGACACGGTTACATTTTTTAGGACCCTTAGTGATGGGGTAAATGGCTGGTATCAGCACCTACAAAAGTGTCTTTTGTTTTTGCAGGTGTATCGTTCTTATCTTTTAGATGTATCTTTTGTTTCCATTTCCCGAAACCTTTTGAAGTACCTCTCAATGATGATGGATCATATTTCAAGTGCTCAAAGATAATTAATAGTTACAGTTTCAGCACATTTCTGATCCCTCTACTGTTTCCTGTTTGTCTCACACACATACATTGTAGCCTCCTTTTATTTTTTCACTATTTGTAGGTTGCTGATACATGTCAGAATATTTTGGAGAAATAGTTAATTTTTTAGTTATGTAGTATTAGACAGAGCAAATTGTACATACTTATTTTGTTTTTGATTTCACATATGACAGCAAGGAATATCCTTAACCACGAACCTGTGTGAAGGTTGCTGATTGTACCAGCAGATCTCAGACCAATGCAGTGGAGACAATGTGGTGGCGACTCTGTCACCTCAGGGCGGCCACAGTTGCCAGCCTGTTGTCACCCAACAGGTTCTGTGGGTCTGTGCCATTGCTGTGGTAGACGTAGAAGAAGGTGAGGAGGCCCTGCCTTCTCCTCTCATTGCTGGAGCACAGGCTCCAAGGAGGGAGCAAATAAAGTGTTTTCTCTCAAGAAGTGCAACTTGGTGGAGAATCAAGATGGTGGAATTGGGAAAAGGACATGTTTAAACAGAGAAATATTAGCCAGTGTGAAACAGAAAGGGCATATTCCAGAAAACAGGAGAGGACAGAACGGCAGCAGAGGAACACCTGGAGACTGACAGACATGGGAAAGCAGCAGACACAATGGTGTGGTGTTGCAGTGACCAAAACCCAAGCAGCATTCAGCAAGCAGTGATTTAAACTGCACCGGCAGCTGGAACTCCACCAGCAACAAGATGGGAAGAG